CAAGTATATTTCAAACCTGTGGGAAGCACTGATTTATACATAGACTTTAAACAGTCTAAGCCTAAAACAGTCAGCACAGCAAAAAATAAGGACATGAAAGTCAGGATCCATCCCCACAGGTGCTCTTATCCCCAGATGCAGACGAGATGAGCAGTTCGCACCTGGATGCCAGCTGTCCGATCTCCTTCATCTAACATTATAGTCCGAAGTCACGCAGGTTTCCAGCCAGGGCAAGGCTGCCAACATGAGCTCACTGCAGAGGCTTGACATTTCGAGAATACTCACACAGCTGCACATGTTCACCTGTGACGTGTACGTGCCTGCGTTTGTGTGCTTATGCCAGAAATGATTCAAGGTGACTTAATTCCTCAACACAAAGCTCAACTCACCCACAAATACATTTTTATACATGTATACATACACAGAAACACAATCATGCAGGTAGCTTATCGCAGCTTCGCCTAGCAGAAACAGGACACAACAAGTACTGTGTCTTTCAGCATGATCTTACACCTCCCAGAGCTGAGACCGTGGCCTATAAATGATCTAGACGCTTTTTACGCAAACACATCGGCATAAGCAGGCCACAGCACGCACGCTTTGTATTCACGCTAAGTACAGTGCATTAGCATGTCACCCTGTCCTTACATGACCAAAACCCATGCATGATTGAGTGTGCCACAAAGAACTAAAAGCATCCCTTTTACATTGATATTTGCTCATTCGCAAAAAGTTAAATCAATGCAGCGCCTTTTCACTTTTTCTTACACTTTTAGACTTGCCATCTCATTAAGCCCACAGTGGCGGTAATAATTAAAATGGTTGTCGATCAAAAGTCCCTCTTTAGGAATTATATTAAAGGCTGCAATCAATCAAGCTTCAGATTTAATTTTAAAGTAATCAGCGTTTGCCAGTTGTTCCCCTGATCAATTGTAATCTAATGATAATTTTGACCTTAAATGTGGCTGTTTGTTATGGCCGGTCTCAAGTGTCCCCCTCCTCTTTGCTCCTTCTCCGGGTGTGTTGGGGTGGTTCCAACTAGGACATATTCATTATTCCAAACAATACAATATTTCAGTCTGTTTTATTAACGAATATTGCTGAGCTAGAGCAGACTGCTCAATCGATAATATTAAGAGCTTGGGTAAGGTCTAAAAGCTGTGGTGTGCTTTTATGTTAGAAGAAGGGTAGAGTCTATTACCGACTTGGTCAATTTATCTGATATTCAAATATCTTTGGCTTCACATTAACAAATAAAACCGGAAACCGAGGCTGAATTCAATCAAAACATGCAGCGCTCTGTCAGATGCTCAATGTTTCCACAGACCGGTTTGTGGAGTCAGTTATCTAACAGCAAAAACAAGATATTGAGTTCAATCTATCATTACTCTTTACAATGTAATTGTTTTATGACACAGCGTCGATTGCTGCTTTATGGGATGATAAGACAGACTCTGCATAACATATGCTACTGATATCATAATTCTCAGTGATGGCACCAAGATTTGCCGTCGGCCTTAACACACTTGGACGCACACCCAAAACAAACAAACGCACATGCACAAGTTCACACACTTTTAGAGAAAAACAGCATTGGGAACAGGCATTACATTTTTTCAGATGCTCAGACAACCAGTTCTTCTAAACTTAAAGTATACGTCACGTTTTATGCTTAGAGTACATGATTGCATATGACACCATTTTTTAGCAGAACATTATGCATGTTCTAGGCAACACTGAACAGTTAGAAACAAGACACTAATGAACACTAAGTTTGAGAAACATTTTTGTTTTTATGATAATGGTGTCTATTTTCCAAATTTTTATAATAGTATCACTGCTTAAACAGTGCCTGAACTGATATCTTTAATTTGAACAATATAAAAACACAGCAATCAATTCATAATAAGCAATTAAGGCACCAAAATTAACTATAATAATTTAACACTAAATAACAGTTACAGAACTAATAACATCAAAAGTAGTCTGTATAATTAGTACACTACAAGTCATGTTCAAATTTCAGCAATAAATATACAAAAATATTACCATACCTACTTTTCTGGTAGAAAAGGCTATAAGCCTGATATTGTGTCTTTTACAGTCACGGTCAGTCTATTATGCAGTAATGTATCTGTGCTTACATCACAAGAAATGATCAACAAAAATGTTTACAAAAAGTTATTCCCTTCACACATGCACTGGTCAACTCATTACATCTGCAGTATTAAGGCTGATTTCCCAGGTATGGGTTTCGGCTGGATAGGCATCCGCTGTGTAAAAACGTGCTGGATAAGTAAGCGGTTCATTCCACTGTGGCCACCCCAGATTAATAAAGGGACTAAGCCGAAAAGAAAATGAATAAATTGATATTAAGGTTGATTTATACTTCTGCCTTAAGTGCACACTTAAGGTCCGGCGCAGCCTTCGCACGGCCATATAGCCCTCATCATGGCTTACACCGATGCTGAAGCGAACCTCTCAAAAAATGTAACGGCACGTCGCAGCAATGCATATCACAGGCTCTGTGATTTCTGAATTGTTTACAAGTGTCAAGCACCGTAAAGGAGCTCCAGATGTTTTGTGCTTATCTTTTGATTAACATTGTTGCACATCCATCAATTGCTTCTAAATGGGTGGGTTTTAGCTACTTCTACATTAATGTAGCGTTCAGAAAAACAAAACGCCCGTGAAGAAACTCGATTCAGAGGACCATAGCATAAGCTGCTGTCAGCTAAAGTTTTTAGAAGTTTTGTTGCAGAGCAACACAAACAGCACGCAGAAGTATAAATGCATGGCTATGCGCAAATCATGCAGAAGTATAAATCAGCCTTTACAATCTTCAGTAGTGCAATTGTTGTTCCATGTTTTCTGACTATGAAACAAACAATGGCCCTGTTTAGAGCTGACATCTTGTGGATCAACAACGTAGTGTAAAAACAATTCAAAGCACTGATGTGAGTTGCTCATACATCGTATGGATGGTTAGGGTGAAAAATCAGGCTGCATGCATACAGTAGACAGATTTATCAATAATTATAAATTACAGTTTTATTACTTACACATTGCTTATTAGTAGTAAAATTTGTTTGGTCTGGGTTTTGGTACCAGACTCTACTCAGGATGACAAAAAAGCAGACACCCTGTTGACTAACGCATTTGTGAGTGGACAAAAACATATTAATAATGCTATTCCGAAGGCGCACAGAAACATTATTGTCATTCATAACTTTTCATGGGAAAAAGTGAAGTCACTGGACAAGGTTAACTCTTGCACCTGTTGCTTGTAACTCTTGCTTTATTCAACTTACATATCCTCTGGGCTAATGACACCTAAGGAAGTATCTTCCAACTGACTTTACTTTAAAATTTGTTGTACATCCACATAATGAAAACTGCTAGATCTGGAGCTGACTTTGTGCAGATGTTTAGATCAAGGTCCTCAGAACCAAAATATTTAAAAATGTTGAGTGTTTCAGTCTGCAGATCTTCTGCTGTAATAAATGACTGAGTGCACTTTGTGAGTTTGGACTGATAAAGTTCAGAGCACTGAGGCATCTACACCAGACTGAAGAGTTGTATGACTCTGGGACGAGGCCAGACACTCTGCTCTGGCCCATATGAACTGCTAAAGCAACCAGTACAAAGACTGTTAGAGACAGTTGAAGAACACCTGCTGGGTAGGGATCTGGGCTTCCCCGAAGTATGGACTCTGAGTCTGATAAGACAACACACAAGCAAATAGAAAAGTGCAGAGAATGGACAGCGTGAGTAATGCTTGTTAAAAAGCCTGATTCAGTTAGACCTCAAGCAAACTTAATTATCCTTTCAAATCAAAAATTATATATCTGTAAGTATACCAATGGTTTCGCTTCTGCAGATCAAAACAATGAGCAAATGTAGAGACTTTAAACATTAGATGATTGTTGTAGTATGCTGTAAAAAAAACACAGATTTTAAGAATATTCTGGATCTGCAGAACAATTCTACTCTTCTCAGTAGAATTCTTCTCAGAATTGTCTATAGACAATTCCACAATTAAATGTTTGGTTTGATCAGATTATTTAAACAGATTTGATTCAATTAAAACAAACTTTGGCGTGATTGTTAGAGTGTGGTTCAGATGAGAAAGTGTGAGCATTGCCATCTAAACCATTGTGTGCACCTTAAAAAGTGGGCTGACATTGCTGAAATCTCTGTTCTTATTCCTACACTGCACAATCGTAAGGCCTTCACAAACTCATATAACCTACTGTATTTCAACTGAAAAAGGGCATCACGTGCACATATACAATAAGCATGCTTAGTACAGTTTTTTAACATTAAGTAAGCTAAATGTATGTCAAAAAAGCAGCCTTTATGTGTCTAAAATAATAGTGTGAATGTAAAGCAAACCAGGAATAAATTGATAGTGTTATTTTTTTGTCTGGAGCAAAAGAACCAAAAACACAACCTACTGTAAATATGCATCACCAAAATATTGGAGGTTCTCTACTTGCACTATTTAAAGTCCATAAGTAACTGAGTAACACCTTAAATATTGATACTCAGCCTTATCTTTGAGTTTCTTCCACGGTTTTAAACTTTTTTCCTTTCACCTCCTGTCCAGTTTTACCAGATTTATCGGTATAGTTAGTCTTTACATGCAGTGTTTAAACCATTAACCACTTTGTCTTAATATGCAGACCTGAGCGATGTATGACTATGTTGTGTAATGAACTCTGGGTAATAGCCCTGCATTATCGACAGGCCCTCAGGGAGTCGTCAGCAGTTAAATTGTGTCATTTATTGATCGGCATGATTTACAGATTGATCCAATGAATGGTGATGGATAAGTTAAAAAAACGAAGAGGATCAGTGATTTATGATGGCTAGGGTATAAAGACAAGCAATTGGGTTGACAAGAAGTGAAATCTGCTCTCTGATGGATATCATTTTGAAAGGGTCAGCAAATACCATATTGATCGGAGATAATTCAGGATTTAGCTGAAAGCTCTTACCTGGTTGAAGGTTTTCTCTTCAGATCCTGGAAAGTGATGGAGTTTCCTTGTGTAACCCTTCTGAATGAAAACCTTGAAGAATTCATTGATGTCCGTGATGGAGATAAGGCAAACGGCGGAGCTGGCGGTGGGCTCTGGTGAGTCCGGTTTGCTCCGGGCAAAGGCAGCAAACAGCACGTCCTCTCCTTCTTTCAAGCCCATCTCCTGCTGAAAGTCATAGCCAACTTTGGCCACATGAGCAGCCTGGAGAACGTTGAAAACCACTTGAGCCGAACGCTTTTTTCTCCTTCGCTCAGAGTAAATGCACTCAAAGGGCATTTCTACATAACGCAGGATCTCAGAATCTGAAGAACACATGCGTACGATTCTCGTGTGGAAAGCTTTCGAGTTGCCACCTTCGCGTTGGACGGTGAGAAAATATACATAAGGACCACTCTGGAAAGAGTAGACATAATGTAGTGGATAGTTCCCCCGCAGTGAAGGGGCCAAATCCATGTAGGACTGATCGGAAAAGAACTCAAAGCCATCTTGAGTTTCACGCATCTTCCTAATGGAAATAGTGTGGTGGAGACGTGGACCGTTTGACTCAAGAGGTTCAGAGTTCGCAACGAAGAACCTCACAACACGACCGCTCATTATGTTGAGGATCTGAGTGCCCGCAGGTCCAGCCAGGCAGTCTGGGCATCCATGGCTGCTGCCTTCATTCTTTTTGGTGTACATGCAAGTTACTTCCGCACCCAGAGGCCCATCCTCTAACACATGACGACTGCAGACGCCATTCCCGACTGAGCCACAGCTGAAAAGTTCCAGGTCATAGAACGTCTCCATTAACAGGGCCATATTGGTGTTGTTTATGTTACGGGGCTTGTTTTCACAACCACTGCATTGATCTGTTGGGGTCTTGCAGTCTGGACCCTCATGGACCGGTCCAGTCTTATACTCATGTTTCTTCTTCAGGTCTTTCGACAGAGCGTAAAGTCTATTGACGGCACCGACATACACTGTTCCATTGATTTCCAACAGCTTCTGAATGGGGGTGTCAGACACAAAGTAAGGGAGGTCATAGGTCACTGAGAGGTCGAGTTTGGAGCTTTCTATTGGTTCCTCACATTGACAATTCAAGCCCCACCACAGCGACTGAAGGATGATTAGGATGGAAGCAGCTTCAGAATAGTGAATTGTCATCTTTGTTCCTCTGTGGATGAAAAAGACAACATTTATTTTGAAGATATCATCCATGAAAAGCCTAACATACAAACAGCAGTACTATTTTGGTTTTTAAATGAAAGTTTTTTGAATTCAAAGTTCAAAATGTGCATATTATACACCATGGCTCAGTTATACCATAGACAAGTTTTGAGTAAAGCTCAGAGTATTCTGTCATATGATTCCTGTCCTATGCACCACAAGTTTTATCTTCTCCCTTCTGATTTTCAATACAGAACTCCTATTAGTAAAACAATTCAGTTTAAGTTTTCATTTATCCCCTCAGCTGTAAAGTTTTTAAATTTAGGGTAGAATTTGTATTGTATAATCTGCTTTTGTGTATTATGTGTGACATGCTTGAATGCTGCAACCAAATTGCCTTCGGGAAATGAATAAAGACTGACCGACCGACCGATTCATGTAAAATTCTAACGCACTATAGGGTTCAATCACCCGAGGATGAAGGTGTTTAGAATATCAGTAATTGGAGGTCAAATGGATACTTAACCTAAACATTTCGATTTGGTAAATGATGAGCAATTCCATGCAAATGTCAACCTTGCCATGAAAAAAAATCAAGTTTTTCTTGCTAAATCTTTTTTACATTTTTTGTGTAAGCAAGTTTTTACAGTACTTTAAAAACACTTGAAAATATGTCTCTGTCTGAGTTTTCAAACAAAAGTCACACAATTGGATCTGTCACATCCATAACGAAGAGATGTCAAATCCATAGGAAAGTGTTTTCCCCGTAAATGTAAAAATATTTAAAAAAAAATAGATACAAAGATTTTTGTTCTATACACCATTTCAATGCGGTGATGTCATTGGCCAATGAAAATTTCCTGCTTGTAACAAGAGGTGATTAAATCAGAACTTTATATTAATTTTTTTTTATCAATATTTGCACTTTTTTGGATTCTCGGAAGCTATAGAAATTAAAAATGTAAAACAGGAAATATGTTAGGACCATTGTTATTGTTTACATCCCTCAAAATGGTCTATAGAGAGCCAACTCTTTTCCTTTTGATTAGAATTGTTTCTTTTAGGTTGTGCAGTTTTCTTCACAATTTTTTTAAAAAAGTATGTTATATACTGTAACCTCACAGACTTTCTTTGGTCACATCCATAACACATGTTTATATCCCTTATTTAAAATCTAAAAAAATGTTTATGGATTGATATTTGATTGATATTTTTCCAATCCCAGAACTCTGTGATGAGTTGTTTTGTAAAATATAAACAGATATTTCAATATAATGTTAAAGTAAACTTTCTCTGTGAATTTATGTTTTGAGTTTTTACTGCAAATGTCACATCCATAACGATGGAATTGCTCTAATATATTATCAACACTCACCCTTCACTAGTTCAAAACGTATTTGATTGTCTTTCTTATGTTGAATGATATGCAATCTAGAATATCGGAAACTCCAGTAAGTATTTCTTAAAAGTAAATAAAAGTTATTTTTGTGTTTACTTCAAAAGTCATAGAAATCATAGTCATAGTCATGTATAGCCTTTTTAATTATACAAAAGGCTGTACATGCTATAAATCAAGGACAGATATTGATTTAAATTTCAATACAAATCAAATATCATACAGTAGCCTTTACAGAGTTAAACAGCACATTTTGACTTGCCATTCTAAATATAGAAGCCATTAGTGCTCAAAGCAAGGACACAAAAGCTTCACGAACCAAGACAAGCCACTCAGAACAAAAAACACTTGTAAATCACTGCCACACGCACTGCAACAACAATGATATCATTAGTTTCCTTGCATTGCAGAAGCCTCAATAATTCACCACTCACTCTCTATGACAAAGCCATGGATAAAGGAAAGAGGGCAACTCTAAACGCTCTGACTTAGACAGCACTTTTGTGGCCGTGTACCAGAAGAGGCGAATCATCAAAGAGTCAGCCTACACTGAGTGCACTGCGGTGACAAGTCTAACTTTAGACAGCGTTCTCAAGGGAGTGGTTGATAAACTCAATTAAGCCTGGTAGGCTGCGGATGCCGGAGAAGTGATTTATTGTTGGTGTACTTAAATGCTATTCCTCTAGGAGGTCGCTTTTAAGGTTGAGAGGGAGAGAGCGGTAGAGCTAGAGAATATGGGATTCACCCTTACTGTTATCTAAGCAACTGAAGTGCACTGACTAGCACTATAGGTCACTGCAAGCTGTAAGTATAACAATGAGAGAGAGAGTGAAAACTGTTGCACTTTCAGTCACTCCAGACATATTAAGCCAATTTATTTTTGTGCTGACCTATAAAGAACATCTCTGCTTTAAAACACCACATAAATTGCCCGGAAAACTTTCTAAATCTTCTTTATAAATGTGAACAATTGGCACAATCATAAGTGCTTAAAAGTGGTTCACAACAGAAAAATATCTACAGAAGCAATATTCAACAAAACACTGAGTATGCTTTTACTATCAAAGTTACAGTATGTATTTTGCATCGCATAAACATTATTTTACTATCATAGTTGCATTTTGCATCAAGCCAGATAATATGCATAAAGATATTAACAGTTACATAGGTTTTTATGGCTAGACTAAAATTTACCATGTAGTGGCTTTTTGTCACTATATACTCACTCTATATATTTCAATGCTGACCTATATATGTTGCTTGCCTACTTTAAAACACCACAGAAACAGAATGATAAACTTGGCAAATCTTCCTAAATGTAAAAATGCCCATAAGTGCTTCACTTGGTGTTTCCCCACTGAAAGGAACAGACTCTCTAAAATGATTTTACTATCAATGTTGAGATTTGTATTTTAATAACAAGTTCTGTATCAAGTCTGACAATGTGCATTACTGTTAATAGTATTTACCTCAGGATAATGATGGTGAGTTTTCAGGAAAGTATAAGTAATTGAAGATATAAATAAGCCTAGTTTTTTTCTCAGAAATAATACCCCCCTCACTTGATTCCATGGTATACTTAAATGACTCAAAAATAGACTTATTCCTAGAAAAGCAAAACATTTAAAGAACAAACGCCTCAGCTTTTTTAACCTGAGTTTCATGGAAACCAACAGATCTACACTGACTCATAATATCAACAGCAAAGCTCAGGAGTATCAACACAATTCCATGAAAACACGAACACAAGAAAAGTATGTTTATGTTGATAGTACGCTGGTTTATAATACTTTGCAACAACAATTTGCCAAGCAATAGCCTTCAGTAATGTAAAAAATGTTCATAAATAAAACAAACGCTCACTCACCTGTAAAATAAAGACACCTGTCGGAGACAGAAAAAGGAAATAATCACATCTTTTAACGGTCCTTGTTACTCAAGGCGCGCGCAGTTTCTCTCGGATGCCAACAGTCTCGGGATGGGATGCGACGGTGAATCTCTGCGCGCTTTCTCTCAAAAGTTGTCCGCTCTTCCTCCCTCTCTCTCCGGAACCTCGTATTCACTCAGGGAATGTGTGCTAGGGTGACTCAGGCTCTGAATGGGTCACAGCAGTTTAAAGGGTTTGTTGTCGTTCTCTCCGCAAACGCTGCGGGTCGTTTCTCCGTGGTGCACGCGCGTGCCATTGGATGGAAACGGGTCTCTCAGGTGAGCGCAGACAGAGCTCTGAGGAATACGTCACTGCTGGTTGAGTAAGCGGGTTCGCTGATTGGCTGTAGATATTTTAGAACTAAGATTACTGTTTGGGAAGTTGTATAGATATTGAATAAAACCTCAAACGCATTATTCGTTATAAACATTTAACTTTTTAAAGTTTTTATCATTATCAGGCTATGTTTTTATTTTCCTACATTGTGTTTGTAAAAGTGTAAAATCAACTGAAACAAACACATTTCTTTTTAGTGTAACCATGTTATTTGTATTTCTTATTTAATTTTTAATTTTTTCCATTTCGAAGTATTTATTTGTAAAACCAAATCAAAATAATTAAACATAAATCAACACAGACAATAGATTACATACAAAAATTTTATTAAAATCTCATTTATAATATATTATTTTATGGAATTATTGTATTATTATAATGATGATGATGATGATTATTATTATTATTATTGTTGTTATCATTATTATTATTATTATCATCATCATTATTGTTGTTGTTGTTGTTGTTGTACATTAAATTCAATATGCATTAATTGATCATCTGTCATTAAGTGCACCAAAAACAATTTCAAGACTGCATTGTAACACTTCATAAAGATCTCTCATAAAAGATTGATAATTGTTGTGGTCAACGTTAGTTGTAAAGCCGAAGTGTGAAATTCATAACCCATGACTGTCTATTCAGCTATGCAGTATCTCCATCCGGCACCTGCCGTGGTATGTTACTCTGTTTTTATAAAGGGTCTCGCTGGCGTGACGCATTTGACAAATATTTTGTGGTTTAGCCTAGTCTTTTTTTCTTTTCTTTTTATAAAGGAGGATTAACGACATGATGTGGCTTTTGTTTGTCACCCTCTTGTATTTGTCACAGACTTGAGAATAAGCGCGAAAACTTTGACTGGCATTTCGGAGTATTCTAGCGCCACCTAGTGGTTAGTGACTCGTTTCGTGTTAGTGTTTGTCAGATTTATGTCCTCATCAATAAAATGTGTGATACAGAGTAAGTGGAGGGAGGACACCGCAGATAATCTACAAAACTGATCCGTATAGATTCTCTACCCACTCTAACTTGGTCTCTGCTTTTATTTATGCCTTTAAAGGTCAATAAAATCCAGGTTAGTGCTGACCTGGTCATTCTTTCTACTGTAAAACCTCATTGACGACGGATCATTTAAACCTGCCATGCACGGCTCATTTGGAGAAAGGGGGTCTTAAATTCTGTGCACATCAGGTAATTTAACTATGCTCTTGACATTGATATATTGGAAAGATTGATTGTGTTTATTATACTTAATGACTAATGTTTAATGCATTTTCAGACCAACAACAGAAATGATAGTTTACCAGTCAAACTTTAGATGAATTGAATGTTTATATCAGAGCAGTATGTAAAATATGGGAAACAACTTGAATGTATTTTTCTATCCCACTCTTGGCTGTTACAAGATCATAATATATTGAGAAACGGATTTGACATGGGAAGTTTAATGGGGTAAATGCAGAGCTGCATTTAAAAAACTTCACTTTTAGGGATACACTTAAACCAGTTTTACAGCACTTAAGCTGATTAGTTCACCCGCTGGTTTTGTTTTCCTCTTGATCACATGACCGCTCTCGAGGCAATTTTAGATTCATTTCATAATCATAATATTATTGATTTTTAAAACTTGGTCCATTGCAGAAAACACAGCAGGCTTTATGATTTATATAAATGAGATAATCTTATTTTTCTTTCCTTTCTTTTTCGTTTTGTGTCAGGTCTTCAAGTCTCTTGTGAAAAAATACACCCGTGTACGTTTTAAAATACTTATTTAAGAAAAAATATACCCAAGTGCAAAGTGAATACGTAACACTTTGTATGTATATATAAATATAAATATATGTTAAATTAAACTGTATTAGGGATATAATTTTCTTTTATTTACAATGCAATTAGCTGGAATACTAATTAATTTGGCACTTTCTTAACAGAAATTTAAAAAACAATTAACATGGAATTTCATGATTACTTCTATTTGGCTCAATTACAAATGTTATACTGAAAAAAACAGCATTGTTAGTATTTTAATATAATAAAACTATAGAATTTTTTTGTAGGGGCATGAAAAGTTTTTAGTTAAAAACAATGCAACTGTAAACTCATTTATTCATACATTTTCTTTCAGCTTTATCCCTTTATTCATCAGGGGTCGCCACAGCGAAATGAACCGTCAACTTATCTAGCATATGCTTTACACAGCAGACATCCTTCCGGCTGCAACCCAATACTGGGAAATATCCATACACACTCATTCACACACATACACTATGGCCAATTTAGTTTATTTAATTCACCTATAGTGTTCATGTCTTTGGACTGTGGGGGAAACCGGAGCACCAGAAGGAAACCTATGTGAAAACGGCAAGAACATGCAAACACCACACAGAAATGCCAACTGACCCAGCCAGTTGTTGCTGTGAGGCAACAGTGCTAACCACTGAGCCACTGTGTCACTGCAAAATGTAAACTTTTTTCCCCTAAATTATATAAAAATATTATTAATATTACAATTAGACAACCCTCATTATTACAAAATACACTTTTAAAAATCTAAACATGTTAATAAATAGTTCTGATATTTTTAAAATTAAAAAAATATATAAGATTTAAAATACACTTCAAATTCATGGATATTCAGTGCAGTTAAACTTGTTTTTTCCTTTGTTCACAAAACATGGTCAAATAAGATCCTTTACCCCAGGAGGGACACATTCTGCTTTCATTATATTTTTTTACAAACAGCATAGTCACTAAATTACTCTTTTGTTCAATCAGTGAGTCATTGTCCTAAAAACTATTGGAAAACAAACCAGCTTCACATTCTGATCTAATAAACATCTCGAAATAACAACACATTTCAATTGAAGACAAAACTTGAGGGCATTTCCATTACCGTTTTCCGTGCAGCTGAATACACAGTGCGACACACTGTTTTTCAGATTGTTTGTTTAGAGAAAAAATGATTCATTCCTAGTGGAAATGAACACCTGGTGGTATTTCAATGGCTCCTCAGATATACTCACTACCATCTTTTCTGTCATTTTCTGATCTAACATCCGGGATTTGATTGAACTTGACTGTGTTCGTATAAGAGCTGAGATATCTATCTACAGAAAAATACTACCTCTATGACTCAGTGTACAGTTTTGTTCGTTTTCATAGCAGCAAATTTTCTGAAGAAAACAACATCTGAAAGAAACAGATGGTATGATAAAGTCTAAAACAATAAATCTTCTGTATTATTCACGGAAAGTATGTATCAGCCTATATTAAATTAGTCTTGCACGGTGAATCAATTCAGTGACTCACTGGTCCACATGAATGCACAGATTTATTGAAAGGGCTTGCTATTTTCTCTAGTTACCAGAAGGAGGCGTTAATGTACAACCATACATCCCCGTGACAGAATATATTTTGTGAAGATGTTTCTCGATGTCTTTTTTTTTCAGGTCAAATAAGCTTACCACTTCTGTTGTTGTTTTATGTAAGTTGCTATGTTATTTGTTGGTACATGTCAACATTTATAGGTACATTCATCATACACTGGAATCAGTTTGTCAGAGAGAGTGCTCAGCAAATTTGAGTACACCCCATTTTGAAAAGAAATATTTTTTTTTCCATTTCTCAGTGAATATGAGTAATATATATTTTTGCATTTAAACAAAACAGATTTATTAAACAGATATAATTATTAAAATAATATTTTAGTCACAAAACATCTTTAGAATTGGTAAGATAATACATTTAAATTCATGCAAAATATTGCAAAAAAAATTATAATTACAAACAACAACATTGCAACAAAATTGTATATATTTTTGTTTCTCTTGATTTTTGCTATTTTTGAAAATGTTTTTTTTTTAAATATTTTTTTCTGCTGACAGAAAAACAAATACATTTGGGCTACTAATTTTAAACCATTATTGTAAGTTATTTTGTTAGATTAGCTCCAGATTTGGCTTCAGCACTGACTAATCTAATGTATATACACAAAATATAATATTGTAAAGCTTCCTATAGAAAAAATGTATTTAAATAAGAGATTTGTGGGGGCGGGGGTTTCCTCATGTATGCTGTGCACTGTAAGATACATCATACATAAAATTACAAAATGGGGGATAGAGGACTTTTGTCCTCTTAAAATTAGGTGCATGGTCAAAATTTTGTGTGGTCGAAAAGCATGACCGAGTCAATCAACTGGTATTCTTTAAATAGCTAATTTCATCATTCAATAAAGCAACAAACTTTATTTTAATCCATTTACCTGCATATAATGGGAGAAACATTTGAGGGTCTTTTAAAAGTATGTCATCTAAATCAACCGGGCCCAGTTTTAAAAAGTAATCCAGTGGGATTTCAAATCACAGATTGGATCATATCTTGGAAATGGGTTTTTCAAAAGTAACAGAGGGATTTTAAATTAAGATCAGACCATGTAATCCAAGCTAACATTTTATTTGGATCAAGCCCTTTGGGTTATTTAAAACTTTGAACTCAGATTGGGATCTATTTTATATTTATATTATATATATATATATATATATATATATATATATATATATATATATATATATATATATATATATATATATATATATATATATATATATATATTATATTGTATTTAGAACAAACTAAAAAATGTTAAATGTTTGTTGATTACAGTGTTTCTTTTCTTACCATTAAAACAATAGCTGTTTGTGGCCACTGGTACTTTGCCTACCTATTGTTCTTTGTTAAGCCAGTAGGCTACACTGTTGTTCCATTTAAGGCTGTGGTAAACAGGATTTGGTAATCCAGAAATTTGGTATTTGAATCACAGTGATCCAACCCAATGTTTCTTTAAAAAACAGGCATGAAAGTAAGATAGATCAGTTAATCCTGGATAACAAAACATGTGATTTCCAAATCTGGACCAATTTGAATCAGATTAATTTTTTTGAAAAACTTGGCCCTGATGACCAAAATGCAAAAGTCAGATTCCAAAGTCAATTGGCGTTCTTTCATCTGCTCAGTAAAGATATTCATTTGAATCAAGCACAAATTTAATTTTATTTCACTTACTTGCTTATTTTGATTTTTAGATATTCTTAATTACATTTAAGAGCTTTATTAAAAATAAGATTTAAGGGAATAACTTCTTAATGACCAACAAGTGAATTTGTATGTTATTATCATCCAAAGTCCGCAAGGGGTGCTAAACTCCATTGAAAGCATTTTATAAATTTGACTGTAGCTTATTTTCCTATCAAATATTTGGTCCCTGCCAAGCTCTTACATTTGTGTAAAAGTGAAAGGACGTTTTCAAATGCTGCTTTTATCTTTATTGTGGTTAAGGTTGAATTAAAACGAGTTATTGTAGCTATTAAAACTGAAACAAAATCCTTTACTTTGACACTAACTTAAATAACGTGTTTTAATTAATCATTTTCATTTAGTTCAACATGTACTAAAATAGGTGGATAAAACAATTTGAATATCCATAAACTTTATATATATATATATATATATATATATATATATATATATATATATATATATATATATATAGGTTTCACAACAAATTCACTACACCTTTGGAACCAGAAAATGCAAAAAAATCTAAACTAAAAAAGCAATAAAACTATAATTATAGTGATAATAAAATAACATAGATTTAAGTTATATTATACAACAACCATATAGTGAGACAAAATGTGTTTAGTTTCTTTAGAGGATCCACGTGCCACTAAAACTTATTAAAACAAAAATAATTTCCAATACTTAAAATACAAATACTCCCTATGGGCACATAAAAAACAATAGATTGTGATTTATTTCTGTGCACTTTATTTCAGTATCTAAGCTTATTTCTCTCTTTAAACACTTCAATTTTAATTTTCATGGGTTCAAGGACTGTGCTTTTGTACACAAAGAAAGCTTTAAAATGACCGCAGAGAGGTTAAACCAGCCCAAGAGGACTTTAAAGACAAGTCCTAAAGTGAAATCAAAGCCATTTAATCAAATACTTTTTTACTACAAGAAAGCAAAGCCTGTTTCTGAATTGGCAGCAGTGTGACTGTCACAAATAAAGATGCTGGCCAGTTTGATTTATATTACATTTTCTTTAATGTGCACAGCATTAAGTGATTTTACAGTAAAAGCAAGGAAAGAGAATTTTCAGTTTTCATATAAAAATATGAATAAAAATATGATCTCATCTAGAGAGGCAGACTCATTCAAGCAAATGCATTGCAATAGATACTAAAGTAGCCATTCACACAGGACACATTTTCAAAGCAAAAGAGATGCAGGGTGTAAAATGGGGAAACATCACAAGAACTCAAGACAACTTTAAGCTTTTTTATTTACTCGAGTGCCTTATTTTTAGAGTTTGCTCATGTATGAGACGACGCACATGCAATAGTCTAGCTTGTGTTTACTTAGAAAAACAATGAAAAGTAGTGTAGAGAAAAGGAAAGAGGTGTTCTGTGTTAACAGCCAATAAAGCCCAAAATATACTTTGTTTTTCTGCATACATGACAGTCCATACATAGGAGTATTTTGAAATGTTTTGCACTACTCAGTTTGTCCACAGGGTGTCCATACTAAACGAACAACAAACTACCGAAGACGACATTCAAAAAAGTATTCACCAAAGCAAAGCCAAAAACGAGTGTACTTAGGCAGCAGCAATGTTATCGCTATCGGCCTGATAAAAAAAAAAAAAACATTTATCTATTGTATCAAATCTATCATATTTGATTGTTAATGTTATTTTTGCAATCAGGCTGAGAATATTTTGGATAGAAATCTTTATTTATCGACCAATATTTCAGTTATTAGCTTAAAGCGAGTCCTACAACTCTGTTTTAAATAAATACAAAGAAAATGTTGTCTAGTATGCACAATATATCGGCTACAACTTGGCAACTGCTGATAACTACTTATTTTGCAATATTATCTGTATCGACCCGATAAGAAAAATAAATTATATATATATATAAAATAAATTTAGTAGTCCTTTTTTATTTGTTTGTTATTGTTTTTTGTTGCAATTAGGCTAAGAATATCGTTTTAAATTTTGCATTTTGATCTATATATCGGTTATCGGTTTAAAACTAGCATGTAACTATATTTTTAATAACTTTAAAGACAATGGCAGCTAGTATAACAAAATAAAATCAGTAGTTCTTTGTATTTTTTGTGTGTGTTTTTTGTTTTGTTGTTGCTATATTTGCAGTCAGATATTTGATTCGTGATTTGTATTTGTCGACCTATATATTGGTTATATATACGTTGATACATTTCCAATTATATAGAGATATCGGTTATCGTGTTGGCCAAACTTTCCATATCAGTGCATCTCTGATTTAATCAATCACAATGTTTGGACTCTTTATAGTGCGCATCTGTGTTTTCACATGCCATCAAATGCATAATCATGCATAATCAAACTTTGAAAGGCTTTGTGTTTAACTATACGTGTATGCAAATGTACACAAAAAAATACAAAGTATATTTTGGGCTTAAGACAGCAGGTAGACGAAGAGGTGAAAGAGTCAAAGCGAGTAGACAAAAGGTGAGCTTAATGTCAGTACGAAATACTATATATATATATATATATATATATATATATATATATATATATATATATATATACCCCACTTTAGCAGCAGCCTCTGATGCTGGAAACTTTAGTTTTATGCAGCATGTGTGTCTGACAGTGAATAAACATAGAAGCAGACAGGATTGCTTACAAAATTTCCACACCAAATGATGTCACTGTCAATAGCAGAAACAACATTTAAAACAAGTTCTTCATCTTCAAAGACTGCAAATAAAGTTTAAGTGTAAGTTAAGGCTGTGGTGATGTGCTTTCGTGTTAGAAAAGTTCAATCTTCACGACCTGCTGGAAGACTTTGCTAATCGCTAGCTTCATGTGATGTCTCTCTGGAAGTTGTAAAGATACTCTCTGCCACTCATAAAGCTGTTGCCATGAGCACCGGGTTGAAGCATTATATATATGTCAGGGCCAGGAACAGTCTCTTTGTTAGTATTTGCTGAGTTGGCAAAGGGTTCAGTGAGGGCACCTCTTTGGCCCCATGTTTAGGCCGTCCACCATATTTAGTGGCAACATGCAGTGTGACGGGCAGTCTTGACATCAGCAGGGCCACGCATACTTTTTTTTCCTTTAAAATTTGTTCAGATTCCCTGAACCCTCTCCCAAAAACACACACAAAAAATATCTGGATTACATAAACCCCATTCATGACCAAAAAAGGGCGATAGTACCCAAATTGAAGGATAAACATAGCAAAACTACTGGAATCTACTATGTAATGTTTACACACTACAAGTATTTTTGGACCGAATAAATGGACGTGTCAGTGATAGAAATGGGATAAAACAAACAAAACCAGAAAATAAAAACACAAATTCACAGCCTTGTCCCAGCAGGCAAATCTTAAAGGGATAGTTCACCCTAAAAATCTAAATTCTGTCATTATTTAGTGAATCTAATATCATTCCAAACTCCTATACCTATTTGATTAGAAGTAGCCTATTGTGTCCAAAATCCAGTTATTTCAATACGTTTTTATGCAATCTGGAATTTCATGAAAGATATTCCAGTTGATCAAGCGATGGCTTTTCTAAAAATTCCATTACAAATAATAATAGTCAAGCTCCATGCCTTAAAATGAAAAAAAAAAAAAAAAAAACAGGACCTTCAAAAGCACCATAAAAGTGGTCAACGTGCATTTCTCTGTTTTTGACAGACTTGGAATTATCACACTAGTCATACAAACCACTATTATTGCACTTTAGGAGCTTGGAAAATTTGGAATGACATTAGTGTCAGTAAACACTTAAAAGAATTAGCATTTTTCCATGAACTGTCACAATAAAAGTAAGGCTGAAACAGTATTCCTACAATGATAAATGCTAACAAATGACAAAGAAAATTAGAGATTTTCAACACACGTCCCCTAAATCCAAAGCTGAGTAGACAAATCTCACAGATGCATTTGAACAGGAATGGAGAGTCAACCCTTCACTTCTGCTCACATTTTTTGTTTCCTCTTTATTACAGAGGCTACGTTTGATTTACCTCCCAACATTGGACATTGGTTTCCATTCCCCCATCCCACCCGATCCCTCTGGCTCTTCTCTTTCACTCTGTCCTTACACCACCTTAGTAGCAGTGACCCGGACGTTACTAAAGCATTTCCCCATGGCCTCAAAGAGTGGGTCGCAGAAGGTGTGCACACAGATGGAGTAAACTCGACTGATGCAGTGGATCTCGATTAGGTAGCTCTTCACGCAAGGCACCACGGCCCAGATGTGGATGAAGGAGAGGATGGCGAAGAAGATGCCCCATACCAGGGCGAGTGGGATGCCCACCAGCGCTGTCAGCAGCCTGTAGCACCAATATTTGGTTACTGTGAAGGTGGTGAAGCTCGCCTTCCACACGCCGTCGAAGCTGTAGGTGCCGGCAGGCTCGGCGATCACGTCCTCAAAGTCCACCTGGAGGTATAAAAAGATTTTTCGGAATTAGATCGTTTTAGATTGTATGATGGAAATCAGACATGGTTTCATTTTGCAGAACTGTTTTCCAATTAACCCACTGACTGGATTCTAAGACCTTTGAATCAATCATATGGTCAAAACCGTTACCGAAAAACCAGCCTGATCTCACAAGGAAACGTAACTATTTTGCGTTTTGTCAGTTTAGTGGCTAATTTAGAGGAGTTCAGCCAAAAATATAAGATTTAAGATATGAGTACCAAACCCCACCCCTAAACCCAACCAATCATGGTGGATGGGCAAATCATAGTAAAGTGTACAGTACGTGTAACCCAGGGATGTGACACTGACAACAGAGGTGCGGATCCACATGCAGGTTTATTAGAATGGTCAGGCAAGCAGTGGTCAACACAGGAGCAAACAGATGTATAGGGGCAATCCAGAGTCGTAGTCAAAAGGCAGGCAGATGGTCAGAAGGCAGACAGCAAAGAGTATTAAATAAATAAACGAGGCAAGGATCAAAAACACAGCAAAGGCAGACAAAGGAAACCGCATTGTAGTGTCACTAAAACAGATAACAAGACTCAGCAACAGATAGTCCAGAAGCAGCATGAGCTGTGGGAGTCTAATCAGTGGAGCCTTGGAGCAGGTGTGTGTGTGTGAGTGAGTGTGTGTCTGGCATGACTGAATATGTAGTCCATTTACAAGCAGATTTGTAGTCCTATGTGTGTGTGAATTCTTTCCAGCGATCTCTGGTGGTTAGACCGCTGGTGATCATGACAGTACTAATGCGATCATGCATATTTACATGAAATAATCCAAAAGACTAAACTAAAAGGTCCACAAGTTACATATTAGCGTTAGCATTGTAAATACCTTTAATATTTAATTAAATCCTGGTGGATTTTTCAGGATGTCATTTTTTTAATAATATATTTTCAATACAATATATGTATATGAATATATATATATTTTACAATAATAATTATTAAATATTTTTGCTCTCCCTGCAATTCGTAACTTTAAAAAAACCTAATTTAGAGGTTTATTCATATATATTTGTACGATCTCATTTGTACAGTTTAGTACTATTTGCTTATCCAATGTGACGGTTGGGTTTAGGTGTGGGTTTGGTGCCACACCTCTTTTTCAAAATTGACTGATCAGGCTAATAGTAACTTGCAGGTTGGATATACATATACTGCATATATAAAGTGAGCAATATTTTATTTTTGTATGTGCATTTCAGCTTTAAAATGTATGCATAAATCTGGCAGCCATAACTAATAAAAATAAATCTGTGGTTAATTTATAAATTGATAAAATATTAAAAAAAAATTATATAGAAATAATATACTCCACTACTTTACTATTGGAGACAAATAAAGATTGTAGAAAAATAAATTATGCTGTTTTTTATTACATTTTTTTGCATTATATGCCTGTTATGTATTATAATTGATACATCAAGCTCGTATAATAAAATACAACATAATATAATTTCATTAAATTAATTTTGTGATCACATAATTACCATAAAATAGCTTAGTAGTATGAAACGCGATATACAAAATAATACACACACACACACACACACACACACACACACACACACACACACACACACACACACACACACACACACACACACACACACGCACACACACACACACACACGAATGAAGGAATGAATGAAAATAAGGGGAAAATATATATTATAATTCATGGAAACATATTGCGTGTCTTATATTATATTATATTATATTATATTATATTATATTATATTATATTATATTATATTATATTATATTATATTATATTATATTATATTATATTAATTTTGTGATCACATAATTACCAAAATAGCTTAGTAGTATGAAACACGATATACAAAATAATACACACACACACACACACACACACACACACACGAATGAATGAATGAAAATAAGGGGAAAATATATATATTTTTATTCATTCATTCATTCATTCATTCATTCATTCATTCATTCATTCATTCATTCATATCAAGCTGACAAGGAAATGCAGTCTGTTTCCTCCTCCCCCTATTCCCCATCTCCACATTCCTCACAGACAGCATCTTTACATTGTACAGCAGCCGGCTGGGATTCTCTCAGACTGGTACGGGCTGCTTCATGCCCAAACCACCTAACTCTAAACGTCCTGCATCCACAGCAGATCAGAGCAGATAGTGCCTGACACCAAACGCTAACATTTACAGAAGACGTGTATATATAAAAGCCATTTAATAAGGCCAGGAAAGGTCTTGGTTTAGATCCTTGCAGAGCTGGCAAACCTCATGCCATTAAAACATAGCAGCACACTTGCTTTTAAAGACAGATGTGTTTATTTCAGTTTCGACGCAGATTATGCAAAGAAAGCGCACACACAAACACACCCCGTCCTTCACAGTAACACGTGGAAGTCAAGATAAAGCTAATATTTATTTAACAACTCCTGCTTGAGTCACAGTAATGTGGAAGGCTGTTTCTGACACTGGATTTTAAAAATCCTGCATTTTGTCCTGTTTTCAGCCCATAACTCTGAGGCTATACTTTTTAATTATTAGGTTACATTTTCCCAGCAGGCACACAATGTCATAAGACATTAATATCAGGTTAGGTTTAGGTCATGACTTCAGGTCAGGTGATTAAAATTCAATGACTAGCCAGCGTCTAAGGAAAACGTTTTTTTGACATCCAATAATTAAATGACATTGATATTTGGTTGATTTTAGGTTGGAAAGTGACCAACATCTAACATCGAGTAAACATCTTAAACCAGGGATCACCAAACTTGTTCTTGGAGGTCCGGTGTCCTGCAGATTTTAGCTCCAACCATAATCAAACACACCTGAACAAGCTAATCAAGGTCTTACTAGGTATACTTGAAACACCCAGTCAGGTGTGTTGATGCAAGTTGGAGCTAAACCCTGCAGGGCACCAGACCTCCAGAAACGAGATTGGTGACCCCTGTCTTAAACCAACGTCAAGTACTGAAATTTTTTCATCAGCTATGGCAACCAAAATCCAACATCTGATACATGTCTTACTGGGAGCGTCCACACAATGTCAAGCTGTAACATCATCAGACGTTGATATTTGGTTGGTTTTAGATTAAACATTGGATGTTGACATCGGCCTGAGTTCTGACGTCAACCCAATTTTCATTTCCAAGTAAAATGCAACACCCCCACAACATTGGGGTACAACGTCAATCTGATGTCAAGGTGACGTCTTGTGCCTGCTGGGTTGTATGTCAGATTTTTTGTTTTTGTCAGACTTTATTTCTCACAATTCTGAGTTTACATAACAATTCTTCATTTGCATCTTGTAATTTTTTTTATTTTACACAATTTTCAGTTTACATCTCACAATTCTGAATTTACATCTCAGTGCTAAAACTACAAAATTCTTATTGTTTCCATCTGGCGGTTCTCAGTTTACATCTAGCCATTCTTATTTTACATCTCAATTGTTTACATCTAGAATTTCTTAGTTTACGGTTGTTAATTATTTAAGTATTATTTAAGTAGATCTCCAAACACTTTATTGTGTATACTGCGATTTTAAGTAAAATCACGCAATTCTGAGTTTACATCCTGCAAATTGTGTGTTTGTATGTCAAAATACTTTGTTTATTTCCCACAATTCTAAATTTACATCTAGCAATTGGGAAATAACATCTCGGTTCAGAATTTACATCTTAAACTTCTTAGTTTACACATTGCAACATATTTTACTATTCTTTACTAGTTTACGTAACAATCTTCATTTTACAAGTGTTTACATCTTATTAGGTCATATTTCACAGTTGTTTACATCTCACAATTTATAATTTTCTATAGATCTCAACGTACTACAGTTTGTCTCAGAATTAATTCTAAGTTTACATATCTTGCAATTTTAGAGTTTACACTTCAAATTACTTTGTTTACATCAAACAAACATTTTGTGTTTACATAACAATTAACAATTACTAACAATTCTGAATAGAGTTTACATTTCACGATTGTGTTTGAATTTCGCAATTTGTTGTAATCATTCACACTTCTGATTTTACATTTGAATATAGTTCAAATTTCGTAAACAAATTTCTAGTTTACATTTTGTCAAAATAAAATATTAGTTTACTTCCTGCAAAATGAGTTTACATCTCAAAATACTTCGTTCACATCTCAAAACTGAGTTAAAATTTCTAAATTCTTGTTTTACACCTCACAATTCTGAGTTTACATTTTTAAAAATTGTGTTCACATATCAAAATGTTCAGTTTACATTTCAAAATTCTTAGTTTACATCTAGAATTTGTTGATTTGGATATCCCCAAGGAGATAATAAATTATTATCTCATTGGAATAAAGGCCAGTTAGGTTAGTTTAGTTTATAAGTCTGATATGTATACAACAGGCTTAGACAATCTGAAAGAGTATTTCAGAGAGTTTTAGTAAAAGGAAAATGATAAATGACTTCTTGTCCAAGGATTTCAGACCATCATAGATAAAGCTGCCAAAGAAACCCCCTAATTATACATGACTTATATAATCCTGTCCTCCCAGTTCATTTATCTACAGTATACCCCAACTGGCTGGACACATAGTTTCCATTACTTGAATGTTACAACTATGACTTTCAACACTCTTCAAATAAACAGTTCCTGAGCCGTTCCCTGATAACACCCTCGCTGCACTGACAGAAGGATCAAGCTGCATTCTTCAATCCTGGGGGCTTGTGATTATATTTGACCCCTCCACACAGATAATAAATCATCAGTATGAAGAAGAAGTTTAGGGAGGAGTGAGGAGTTTGATGAAAAGACCAATTTAATAATCTAAAAGCCACAATGTAAATAAATAAATCACTACTCAAACTGAAGTAAAACAGATTAAGTAAAACTAGATAATGAATCACTTTTAAACTGACAAAACAAAACATATATCTATAGTAGTTACATAGATGTAAATCTATTTATTTAATGTTTAATTTATTTAATGCCAGTGTTAGGGATGCGTTGATCAGGATTTTTGCAGCCAATACAGAGTATCAATTCCTTGTCACGGGGGTCGGCCAATATCGATTCTAATGTTTTAAGCTTTATAATGCATAAAGCACATTTTCACTCTACGTATGAGACTTAAGTGCCTTACCTAATAGAATAAATGAAAGACGTTGCATATAATCACTTATACATGGCTCTTCTAACAATTTTGTGTGGACATGTAATGATCAGAAACAGCTTTATAGAAAATAAAAAAAAGAAAAATCACTAAAAATGCAATTTGAAAACACTGCAAATGATGAACAAATAATTTATCATGTCTCAATGAAGTTTAAAACACATATTTAATGCATAAAAAGTTAAAATGCACCTAGAAATCCATTACTTCTTACTAAAAGAAAATAGGCCTATAAACCACTTTTATTTAAACGTTTATTACACTTAGTTGTATTATAAACTTTTCGATTTAAAAATTATTTATGATATTTTTAATTTCTCTAATATTTCCAGCCAGGTTTTAATGAACTTGCATTATTGTAACTTGCAATAAATACTGCTTGTAAACTCGTAAAAAAAAACACTTTTGATCTGTTCATGACATCGGCCAGATTAGCAAGTACCGATCAAGGCATAAAGTGTGATTATCGGCCAATACCAATCTCAGACCAATCTATCGGAGCATCCCTAGCCAGTGTGCCTCTATGTTTATTTAATGAATGTTTTAAAACGTCATTTGGCACAGAAGAATGAATCGCCAACTATTTCAGCATATGTTTTAAGGCAGCGGATGCCCTTCCAGCTGCAACCCAGTACTGGAAAACACCCATACACTTATTCGCACACACTCATACAGTGCTAACCACTGAATCGTTGTGTTGCCCAACTAAAATTATTTTCAAGTTAAATTTAAAAACAAACATAAAATAAAATTACTATATAAATAAATAAATCTTTTTTTATATACATACAAGCACACAAATATTATATGATAAATTAGTCCTGACAGTATATGTTTTTAGGTCATTGTAACTTATTAAACAAAGTTAATCGTGTTCTAACTTTATTTTATAAGTTGCTCAAGCAGTTTTAAGTCAGTTTAGCTAATAGGTTCAATAAAGACATAAGGTCAATTTGATTCAGCTTAAAATTTTAAGGCAACCAGCATTTTTTACATTGTAGACATATTTAAAATAGCTTATTTGACGTTTAATAATGCAGATAAATTGAAGTTAAATGTGTAAATAATGATATATATATATATATATATATATATATATATATATATATATATATATATATATATATATATATATATATATATATATATATTACTTTTCAAATTGAATCTAAATACTCTAAGTCACCCTCCAAAAAACACAATATGCAATATGAAAACAATGTTTTCTTGGATGAACAAAAGCTGCACAAAAACAATGGAACTCTTAAACACTAACAACAGTTTTATATTAAAAACAATCATATCCGCCATGTTTATTTTGTTCCAAATCCTCAATCGCCATGGCAACAGCCTGTGACTCATTCGGAATTGTAATTCATATGCGGTGACTAAAAAACCCACCAAGTAACTACAACTCTATGAGTTCTAGAAGTTTTCTCCTATCAGCCAGGAATTATAGTACTTCAGCAAAAAAACTACTGTACATACTCTATTATTACAAGTCTAACAGTGATGATGACCATCTAAGTGGCCCGGCCTAAGACTGCTCTCTGGCCAAAAATCCCACGTGGATGAGCTATTAAAAGAATGCAGTTTTATGAGAGGAAAATATTCCGTTCCAAGGGAAAGCTACGCATGTGTTTGTGCACACAAGAATCTTTGATGTGGATGTCAGTGGGAGTGAACTTGGACCGCGAGTGCATCACGGACCAGAAAAATGCCCCATCTGCACGTATGTATGGAGAATTTGTGTAAAACGGAGATGGGAATTCCCTCTCCTACGCAAGACCACTGCGAGCACTCAACCCCTTTTAAGGACAAAATCAAAGGACTGCGTGCACAAAATGAGTTCGACTTGTGACACCAATCCCATAATTCTAAGCATGAACAGAACAATTGCTTTTAGCGTTCTCTGGATTCAATTTTCAGTCAAATCATAAAAAGCATTCAAATGCATGTGTCCTCGGGGATGTGACTCAGTGTCATGTTGTGGTGGGAGGGGAAAAGACGATGAATAAGTGAAAACAAATAAGGGTTGAGATGAATGAAGAGGATCGTTTAAAAAAGCTATAAAGCAAATCATCAAGTGACCTTTTTTTTGTTATGAAAGGAATCGCCCCACGCCCAGAATGTTAGGTGCTCAAAAACAGGAAACTGTTAATATTTCCTTTTTAAAGAAGGTTGGTTTGACAGCTTATTGCTGCATGGGAGTTCCTACAGCAACAAGCCTGTAAAAATGAGAGCACTGTGCTATTATTGTATGCACAATTTTCACAAACACATGCCACAATCGAAGTATTTCACTTTGGTACCCTGTTGATAATTGTTTCCACCCTGTTGGAATATACAACTTAAAGGGAGAGTTCACTCAAAGTGGAAATTCTATCATTTGCTCTGCCTTCTGTACCAAACCTCTTTGAGTTTCATGTTTCTGTTGAACACAAAAGAAGTTATTTTGAAGAATGTCAGGACTGGTCGTCAGTGACTTCCATAATGTTTTTTTTGTTTTGTTTTTCTATGGGTGTCACCAGTTTCCAGCATTCTACAAAATACACTGTATAATAATGCTAGGTACCACACAATAGATTTGTATTGGAACAACATAAAAGGATTGAGTTAACATATTACTTTTTACAAATATAAGTGGATGGAACATAAAAGAATTAAGTTGTCCCAATAAAAACTTAAGCTCAGCTCATTTTAAATAAGTGTTTGTCCAAACAACAAACATCATTTTCGAGTGTATTTTATTTTGTGTTCAACTAAAAAGTCAACTAAAAATGTGGAAACACTTGAAGGTGAGTAAATGGTGAGCAAATTTTCATTTTTGTGTGAATCTGTTCAGGCTGGGAACTGGTTGGTCAAGTAATGTGGTCTACAAACCAAAACACCTAAGGGGCCATTCACACAGAATGTGCTTTTCCATCTCAGTGCATTACTTTTACATTGTTTTTTTATGTTAAAGGACTTTACAGACTTGCATGACCATTATGTTTCTGTAATGCAATTTTTACAAGTTGCACCATTCTTTAATGTCAGTTCCAAAGCAGCGGACCAATCAGAATAACGGAAAGGCATGGCAAGCATCTTTGGATGCAACGATGTGTTCTGTATGAATCACCCCTAAGGAAGCTTGAAAGTGTGTTTTACTGTAAGGCCATGTTTACACTTGGTAATACTATGTTTTGCTTGATTGAAGTAGATAAAGTTATGTTTAATAATGTTTTGCTTGATTGAAGCAGACCTCATCACATATATACCAGCCATTCTAATCTGTCTCTTTTGGCCACATTTCTTTGAGAGGCTTGTGTATTTATGCACTTCAGAACTTTCAAACCAATATTGTGAAATACACTTGCACAATTGATATACAGTATGAGGAAGACACATACAAGACGTTCGTTTCTGCTCCACAAAACTATGCCAAGCTCAGTGGATTTGCAAGCCAGGCTCAATGGAAATATGTGATTCTGGCTACGTAAAAACTACAAATCGTACCTTCCGGTATAAACCCATTTTGCTGCACTGAACCTAAATGAACACCTTTTTCTAACATTTAATAAAGAGTTAATTATCTTGTTATGTTTTTTGTAGATCTTTGCATAATTTTATTTGTCCATTAAAGCGTTTTGGTGCATCTGAAAATTCCAGTGCTCTTCTACCAGCAATCAGCTGTGAGCACTTCTCTAAAAACAATGAGAGATTTTATTTCCAATGAACCTGTGCATTGTGCTCACAGTTCAGTACATTGTGCTTTTTTATTTACATTTCAAACCAAACTTACTATTTTGGGTGGCAAAGTTTAAATTGCATTTCCACTACAAAGTACATTGATCAAATGTTTGATTAGTGAAAAGAGAGGAATAATCTACTTAAATGAAAAATGTATTTTAATGCAATCCCATTTTAATGGCTGAAAGTGCATAAGCTCAAATAGTTTTGAACATCATTGAATAGTTTATAATAGTAACAAAAATGCATTTTAATACCAGCTGTAAAGCAATTTTGCAAGTAAAATTGTACATTATAATTCCCAAGTACTTGAAGCCATCATTGTTTCTACATTCAAAATTAATCGTTTCCAGTGCCACCTTGACAAACTGACCACTGACTCACCACTTTTGTTATGAAGCCAACTTTCTATTGTGTTATAATGGGAAACTATTGGGATAAAATGGTCTTACTTAGCAGTGTGTATAAACTGCAATGCACTTTAAAGACTTTTCTGAATTATAAATTAAATATAACAATGAAGGATTTGCTTTTATCTGTCCATACAAATTATATTTGCTAATATCAAGTATGCAGTTATGAATATCACATATACTAAACAATAACCTGTGAGATTCTTATTAACGTTTCCATGCAGTTAAACAAATGTCCTCATTATTTATATTTTAAATTTAAATTGAATACCCAACAATTAAAAAAGTTGCATGAACCAGACAAAGTTTGTCCTACCTTCACCACATCGTCATTTAAATGCTTTGGGTCTCGGTTGACCAGGTCAATCTCCTTGGTGTGGACATCCTGAAGTGTCTTTTCGTTGATGCTGTCGTTATCCATTTCTTTATTGTTTGGTTTGTAAATGTTCCCCTGTTTCCTGATAAACGGCGAGTGAGCGTATTCCTGCGGTTCCAAAGAAAACAGAAAATGAAGTTCATGAGCGTGGAGTGGGAGACTCGGGCGCAACTCAGCACAGCCCTGGCATGGGATGGTTTTAAGCGGATAGAAATGAAGCACCACACCCCTCTGGAACACAGTGGCGCATCCCGCCACACGGAGGCGCCATTTTACATTATGCGCCTGTTGTGCTCCCTTTTTATTCCGCAGCAGAAAATATGAAAATGCGCTCACTGCTGAAAAATCTTGTTTTTAGTTCGTGCTTAAATTATATTACTGTAACAAAATTGTTTAGACGCAGTTTCCCTTTATAAATATGTGTATTGATAAAGTACTTCTATTTCACCTGGATTAATGAGCAGTTCATATTTTCATAGCCTAGTATTATTTTATTCAGCTGTGTTTGTGAAAGTGTTGCGAAAGGGAGGCTTGCAGTACAAATACGTGCCAGGAAAAGATAAGACTTCAAATCTGCCAATAATGTAGCAAGTGTCAACACTGCCTCCGTTTGTTGATAAACCATACAAAAGGTTTGCAAATAAGTAACTAAATTAAATTTTGCTCTGTATAAAATTAATTGTCATCAAAAGTAAAAGATTTCTGAGGTAAAATAGGGGTGTTCTTCTTACCTCTTCAGGTGTCCCGTCCTTGTATCCGCTAGTCATGCTGTCCCGTGCCTGAAGTGCGATCAGATGAGTGTGAGGAAACAAGACAATCAGTACAGAGGAAGCAGTGTGGGAGGCGTGGGGATATTGCTTTCTGTGGGGAGTTTTTTTTCCCTTAAAACAGCCCTCTCTTCTGCATGCTAAAGTCCCATCAAGCTTTTATCTGAAAGCTAGTTTATCTCTCTTGAAGACTCTCACGGCACAGAGTGGGAGTTTCTCCCAGTCACTGAGTTTGTGTGTTGAATGAATGAGGAACCCTCCATTAGCCTGCCAATCACACAGCTACGCAGCATTAGTGGTTGGGGATTTTGACGTGATTTTTTCCCAAATGGGAGGCACATCTGGGCATTAGACCAACTTTTCCTGCACGATTGCCATGTATGCTAACAGGAACATGCACTCTTTTTTTCATTAGCAGTTTTAAAATTGTGTTACAGTAATGCTAATCAAAATAAAGCAACCCTAAGCATTACACTTCATTTTTTTTTTTTGCTCGTTTAAACTACTTATTTAAAATGAGTGGAAACAACACAATTCTTGAGATTTCATTGGGACAACGTTTTTTTTTTTTTGTTCAATCCACATAAATCTGTTAAAAGTGTTAAGTTAATTTAATCAATTTGTGTTGGGACAACATGAACGAATTGTGTGGAACCCTGCATTTTTACAATGTTTGAAGGTTGTTTAGAGACAATATATATATATATATATATATATATATATATATATATATATATATATAAAGCAAATCAAACTATTTTTAACCAAAGTAACCTAGTCAGACATAGTCACCCTACTATTGAAGTTTGATCTGTGCCAAAAGTCGACTGATGGTAGCTTCATTTGCCCTTATTGACTGTCATATTCACATAACATAGGTATAGGTTGATTGTGTTTTCTATGTTGTATTGTTCCTACAGAACAAGAAAAAGTTCAACAGAACATGACAATGTAACACAAAAATTGAAATAATAACTGAAAAACTAAAAACAAAAGGAAATACAAACATTAACATATAGTTATTTACCTCAACAAGTGGGCAGTTACTGTACATAAGGACAGATGTAGTTTACAAAGCAGTCTATTTAATTTTGTTACAAAAAATTGTGGTGCATATTAAAATTAAACCTTTAAATGTATGAAGCACTACTGACACTCAATGTCAGATTTTCCAATTCAGAATATCCATTAAAATATGTTTTACTATTGAACTTTTTGCACTTCGGATGTATAAACCTAAAAGGTAACTACACTGAGGTCTGTTTGCATATTAAAAGGTTCCTCGAGGCAAGACTTGCACTTCAGTTTGGAATGTTTTGAACAACACTGAAGCTGCAGGTTCTTGTTTTTCTCATATTTGCCTTACTTACGTATCATTTGCTTGACTTACCTATACATCTTTTTAGGAGGCATTTATTACACCTAACAAATGTTTGTATTTCTAGGTCAGATGCTGGCAAAGCGAGGGTTGTGACAGGCAATGCAAAATATGCAAACAACGTCGCCAGTGATAGTGGCCAAAGGTTGCTGTAGGTAAAAACTCCAGCAGCACTCTTATTATATGATAGATTTGATTCTATATTATATAACTTTACATTAATTGCAAGGTTCATCTATTTGTAGCTCATAGTAAACATTTTATTATACAAAATCAGAATGCAGAATGATTTCTTAAAAACCCAGCTGTTAAGCACTCAAAAGAACACTCAAATAGACTAAATACATACAGTTTGTTACGCTGTTTTCCTCAGGCATTTTTTCCGTGTTCAGCGAGTCACCTGAAGGGTTTATCTAATTGCACAATATGTAAAACCTTGTCAGGTTAACATTCCATATGCCAAGCATTGATCTGCACAGTCTCTCAGCAAAGAAAACAAAGTCCTTCAACTTCCAAAAATTATTTTATTTGGTGAACTGTGAGGCATTTAGTTCTGTCTTTCATAAGCTGAGCTGTGTTCAGCATGTTTGCTACATGACATCACTCAACAGGGCTAAGGAAACGGCACCTGAGCTTCTAATGTTCCATTGCAGTCAAATATTCCATTTACTCTGTGGAGCCACTAACAAAGCACAATCGATGGCAAACAGCATGTCAAATGTGGCTTTGCTAGTCAAACTAATCATCATTTGCTGTTTTATAATTTCAAAAGATGTCATTAATAGAGAAGAAAACAAGGAATGTACCTAAAAATCATAAATAGCTCACACTGGAATGCCATCAAATCTTTTAAGGGTACGTTTACAGAACTAAAAATGGACATTTTTGAGCAGTTTACCTAGAAACGGGTTTCAAAATTCTACTACTACTACAGCTCTTAAAGTGTCAATTTCAAAAATGTTTATTTGTGAAGAGAATGTCATGCATTATGTGTATTTTTATGTTCAGTCTGTACACGTATTAGTGCTGAACAACCAAAATAACAATAGCAGACAAGAGCACTGTATGCGTGCCAATACACATTGTTTCTTTACAAAGTGACACCTACTGGCCAGGCATCCATAATGCTGCCAATTAATTCATTTTTGTGAGCGTGATTGTTTTTGACAATGATGTTGTCTGTATGTGATCCTTTCCATTTTTAAAGTACAAAGTTATATAAACGTACCCTAACTCCAAACAATATAAATAAAACGCTTAAAAAACCTACAGCCCTATCGGAAGTAGTTGCATATTTTTTTTCCTTACCAGCACACCATGCGCTTATTTTAATAACATTTATCATGCAGTAGCACAATATATCATCCTTAAAGAATAAATCTCAAACATTACATTAAAAGTATTGCATTATATATAACATAAAAGCTTAATTAGACTTACATAACAGTACTGAAAAAAGCATGTCTGCATAGGTGCCACCCATAACAAAGTTGACATGTCAATAGCTACAACGGAATGAGAGACAAGTTCTTTCTCTTCTCTGTGCTTCAGAAGTCAAGGATAAACGTTCCTTCAGCTAGTAACTCTCAAAAGGGAGGGCAAAAGAGTGTGACAGAAAGATTCTGCAATACTTCTATGCGGAGTTAGATTTGCTCAGTCTTGATGTTGATGGAGGACAAGCACCGTCCAATGCTGAAGAAGAAAGGCCCTATAAACATGTCCATCAAGCTGGTCCAGATCACGTGGATGGAGGGCAGTGTCATCATGCAGCCCTGGATCACTGGCATCACCACCCTGTGGATAAAAAATAGCTCATCATTAAATGTGCTGATGACTTATAGTCAGATCAAGGTGAATGTGTTCATCTCTTTGTTCTAGGTTAAAAATGGACCCTGGAGAATTAACCTTCATATCCAGTGGTTCAACTGAATCATCAGCTTTGCTATTGTTAACATTAAAGCCATATGTGAGATCTGTCAGTGAGCATCACTGGACACTGGTCAATAAGGAGGTGAGGTGAGAGAAATATAATGTGTTTTCATTATCTACAGCATGTGTCTAAATGCTTTTTAAACTTACTATTTATAAGATTAAAGACCCTTTTTGTACATTCAGCAACTGTATTTATACATAAACCTGTTTTATAACTAACTGGATTAATTCTGACCAATTGATTGATGCTTTACCTGTAAAAGACTCATGGCCTGTGTTGTCGTTGGTTGCTTGTGTGTTGTTAAGAGTCTGTGTGGTTTTGCACTATGCCTAAGTGCATAGATATTTACATTGGACGTCGCCTACATACGTCGCCTTGTTGTCTATAGGAAAAAAAGTGTGTCAATAGAGCTGCCATTTTAGTACAGGGTAGTACTCCTTTGAAATGAATATGGGACCAAGGTGCAGTGGAGGACTGGCCATCCAGAGCCAGAGATACACACACACACACACGCATATATATATATATATATATATATATATATATATAAAGCGACAAAGAGCATGTGTGTGCGTGCATGGAGATGTATTATCCTCCCTCCCTGTTAAATTTGATCTAATACATGTCTTAAAATACACCCCTTCTCCTGCTATCACATCTCATTCTAACAGACGAAGTGATTTGTTTGTGAATGAATCTCTGTTATGAACGACTTGTTCACTTAGCCAACAATAATACAAGTTTCTGGCACCGCAGCATCTTGTTGTCATATTTCATTTGCATTGTTGGCTTATTTCATTCAACAAAACCTGCATAAGCCTAGTATTTAGTGCGAGCTGGTGCTACTTTGCCTTATGGTCAGTGCAGTAAGAGACTGTATTGTAATACTTGTTTAACACATAATATACTTGTTCAGCACAAAATTTCATAACATACAAAAAAGTAAAGAATTAAATCTTTCATGTGAAATGTTCTGCCTTCATGCTTTGTTTAATTTGTTTGCTCATTACTACACCCATACACAGCACTGAAGTCCAGCATCTTCACATTTGGCTTTTGGATGACATTTGTTCTGGGAGCATTGAACAAATGTGCTGGCACTATTGACTCATACTCCGAGTCCGTATGCGATACCTAGTGTATATGTCTATGGCCTAGGTGGTTGTTAGAGTTTTGCCACACAGTTGTTAAGGCCTTCTGTGGTATTTAACAGCATTGTTGCTGATTTAGGTGGTTGTTAGGGTGTTGCTATGCAACTGCTAACATAGCCTGTGGCATTCAGCAGTTTAATAGCCAATCTTGTGGTTGTTAGGGTGTTGCTATGTAATCACTAAAGTTCCCTTTTCTATTTAACACTTTGCTTTGGAATCTATGTGATTGTTACTGTGTTGCAACATTATGCAGTTGCCAAGATTTTGTATTGTTTTTACCATTTTCTTTGGTATCTTAACGATTACTAGGATCTCTGTGGTACTTATCACTATGTTTGCCAATATAGGTAGTTTTTAGGGTGTTGCTCTGTAATCGTGAAGATTCTCTGTGGTATTTAACAATATGCTCGAGATTCTAGGTGGTTGCCATGGTGTTGTTATGCTTTGCTTAAATTATTTTAGCTCTATGCTTAAGAATCTGGGTGGTTGTTACTGTGCTGCTAAGGTTCTGTATTGTTTTTAGCACTGCACTTGGGTATCTCAGTGGTTGTTTTGGTTTTGCTTTGCGGTTGTTATTGTTGTCTGTGGTATTTTAGCAGTATTTGGTAAGGTGGTTAGGGTGCTATGCAACTGCTAAGGTTTTCTGTGGTATTTAAGAGTATGTTATTAGAGTGTTGTTGCAGTTAATGTTATGTGTGGTCATTAGCACTGTTCTAAATGGTTGCTGTGGTTTACAAAAGCAATCACTCCTCAACAAGTTGCACAATTTGAGTCAATTTAGATATTATATACTAGACTTTAGCGTCTAGTAGGTTGCAAAAATATTGCATGGAGATTTGATGCACTACTCACTGACCTAAGTAAAAACAGCCAATATCCAAGACATTATGACATTTTAAAATTGTTCACCTGCTGTTACAGGGTCAAATTAGATGTACATGATTAGATGTAAATTAAAACAAATCTGTTTTTAGCAAATCTCAAAGTTTGAGATTTGTCACCCACGATAGTAGTCATTTAAGACTGACAATAAGACTGATCAGGTTTTTTTTTCCTATTCCTTTGAGCTACACTGACATCTCGACCTTGATCTTATCTAGCTAATTTGTCAGGACTACTCATTCCTAAGCTAACAGGGTCTCTCTGCTTCACTAGGCTGTGAAATTTACAAACATCCACATGTGCTACTACATCCACCTCAGGAGGACTGACTCTCAAAGTGTTGCTGATCTAAACTGCACAGGGTCAAGCACCAATGTTTGCCAAGTTTCTGCCTGCATGTGTCAAACCGCTAAGAGGTCGGAGCAAAACACTTGACTAAAATGCTAACAATCCAGCGTGAGTTATGTATGGACTTTTCCACTCTAAGTGGAAATGCAGGCCCACCTGCACTGGAAAAAAACCAACATACAAACTTTCTCTGTGACATTTCTTCATTTTTTTTTATGCCAGTCTTTATCTTGGTGGGAGGTGGCCAAGGAAAATATTCTGCAATTGAGCTGTGGAAAATACAACAGAGAGCCAGCAGCCTTTCTCAACAAGAAGCCTTTTCATACCAAATATGTATACAGCTGAGGATCCCGAAAACAATCCCTGCAATAAACGCCATGGGAATGGCCAGAAACGTGGTGAGGATCCGGTAGAAGACGTATTTCACCAGCTCGAAAACAGCATGACTACCAATCCAAACTCTGTCAAAGCTGTGTGTGGAGTTGGGCTCAGCGATGATGTCTTCAAAACCAACCTGTGGAATCAAACATGATATCAAAAATAACATTAATTACACTAGATTAACCCACATTAAAAAGATTAAATATAATTTTCATATTCTAACAGCACCAAAGAAATGTTAAAAGTCTATACATTGTTATATTTTGGAATGTATTATTATTATTATTATTATTAGTAGTAGTAGTAGTAGTAGTAGTAGTAGTAGTGGGAGTAGTAATATAATTAATAATATCACTGGTTGGTTTATGAAAATGAAATATATTAGCCTAACTACTTATATTGAATCAAAGCTGTGCTAATATTCAATACAGTAATGCATCTGTAATTATTGTTAATAATAAAACTACTTTCTTATTCTTATCTTATTTACACATTTCTTTCCTGTCATTTGTTTTCTTTTTTGTGTAGATAACAATGCAGTTTGCAAAAGCAGACATAGTAATACTCAAAATATATTTAAAAAGCGTATACACTAGGTTTATTGCGCACGTGCAACCATTCACATAAATCTCTTTATAAAAATGTGCTCGTGATAGCGGTGAGTGAAAACACCTTATACTGTCACAGGAAACTAATATGACCACGTCATATAAGGCATGTTTATTCAGATATATACGTTAATATTTCTAAATAAGTGATAGGAGCACCTCTCGCATGATCTGACACTTACCTTTAGGTGCTTGTTGATATCTTTAGGATCTCTGTCCTGAACCTCCGAATACACGTTCGGTTTCTTTCCAAGTATAGGTTCAATCGATCTGTTGAACTCATCCTCATCCATTATCACCCTGGTCTCTGATTTTTCTTTTTCTAGACCCATTTTTTAAGTTTTGGAGTTGCAAGGCGCGCGCTTCTGTCCACTGCGCCTGCTGGACGCGCTCTGTGCGCTCAGGACAGAACGCGTCCACGCCCCTCACGGAAGACGCGTTCACGCGCAGACAAAACACACAAGCGGCGCCCAGTTTTCTGCTACAAACAAACGTGGAACAACAGTAAGGACCCTTTAAAGGGGTCAATCCTAGTATAGCTGTCCTTATCTCGATACACTGTTTATTAAAACATAGTTCTAGGAGTGTTGACAGATTCTTGTTGTTATTTCCTCTATAGCGCATACGGCATAAACGCCACTTTTACCTCAGCTGTTTCCTCACATTTGACACTTTTATTCATTTCATTGGCTTATTATACAGTTTAAAATCTGAAGTATTTTAAAGTTTTAAAACTATAAATCTTTAGGGAATTGCTCAGAGTTTGCCTTCATTGTCTCCTCAGGCTCTTTTATTTAACAAAAAAATATTTTGGTTCTTTTAATACTACTACAACAACTACTACTACTACTACTACTACTACTACTAATAATAATAATAATTTATTTAAAACTGCATGAGACATTCAAACCAACAATCTGTTAACTATCTTAAAGAACTATTTATGATAATACTTTTGTTTATATACTGTTTACTTTTCTTTATGTTTGAGTGTAGAGATCTTTTTTTCCTGCCCTTTAGATTTTTTTTGTGTTTATTTGTAACCATCACAAACCCTTTCAGCACTCATTGTTGATTTGTGGGAGCTCAGCCTTCCAACAAAACATTCTCATCAGACTTTTTAAAATAACTATACATTTAAGCTTTCAAAATCTACCATTTTTTTATTCAGACCAACTATGTTCAGTTGATGAGAACCTACTTCATTCATTGTCTTCATTATAGCAAGTAAGTACAGACATATTATCCATATTGTTTTGAGTTAGCCTATCATATTTATTAATATATTGTTCAGAAGCATGAGCAGCACATACCTATGAAGGCAGCATTTGTCTGGTTTTGGACTCAGTCGATGACTTTTAGTAGATCATTTGCCTGTCTTAACTTCTGCTAGTGCTAGTAGGCCACTCATATCTTTTATACACTGTTAACTGATCCAGTGGTTGTTTTTGCATTCCTATTTGACTTTTCAAAGGGACTACTCATCCTACAAAATTAAGTTCCCTCACTGAAAATTTAAACGGCATGGTGTATGCAAACACTTTGGCATTATCTTTATTCATTATGTTAAACAAAACTGAAATAATATTAGATATTTATGTAATTATTCTGTCAGATAAAAGTCATGTGGTGCAACCAACATGCAGGGAAAAAACATACAACAGGAATTTACACAAAGCACCCCAGGAGTCCCTCAAATATGTCATTATTTGAATCTTCAAAAACTGACATTTGTGAATAAGAAATTGATTGATAATAATATTGAAATAACATTGATAGTTATAATAATAATAATAATAACGATGACAATAATGATGATGATGATAATAATGATTAAAGAACAATCTTTCAAGTATATGTGAAAATCTAAAACACTGATATTTATAATATAATATTAAGGGAAAATATTCATGTATATAAATAATAATAATGTTTTATAATTATATAATATTTATGAATATTTGGTAAAAATAATAATGATAATATGTAAAATAATAAATTAATAAATTGACATGAATTTTACATTATTAAATGTTATAGAATATAACATAATAAATCAATTTCTTTCTGAGGAATATTTTCTATATCAAGTAAAAAATATATATAAATTAATAAATAAATATACTTTTAAATATTAAAAAGTACTTTTCATACATCCACTTTACTTTTGTCGCTACTTTATTTTACATCTAATTCAGACAAATATGTGCATAAAATGACATTCAGCAAATCTGAATTTTGTTTTAAACATTTTTAAATCAAAACTTATAGCACAAATACCTTTCATTAATCAGCTTTATTTCTGTGTATTACAAAAATTCCAACTTTTTCTTTTCCACAATGAAACTAGATTATGACCACCTTTCTCATTCTGCTAAACAATATCTTCTATCGCTCCCACCATTTTAACACTTTTCATAATACATACCAACTATCTGAATATAACATTGATCATTATAACCAGAAGGAATGAAGGAAGCTGATACACACATAAACAACAAACTCATTGTGTTGTAAAAAGGGGAGAGGCATGAGCAGCTCATAACAGCAGAGCAAAAGCACAACAGTGGGAGTGAAAAGCACATTCGGCCCACCAGACCTCACACAATACAGGTCATAATCCCTATGGATAAACACACAGCCGATTTAAAGCTGCTCTGCAAAGGTGCCAAAGTCTTTCCTCTGCGTGTGCGGGTTTGAAACAATGTTCAATTCTCTAATTTGAAACCAAACATTAGTGGCTGCCTTTAGATTTTAAGTTGAAGCAAATGAATCTTGAGTCATTTCAACTTGCATTGCAATAAACTGATTTTAAACTGCTTGTGTAATGTAAGGGTGCTAGACAATGCAGTTGAGGATCCACGTGCAGTTTATTAAACAGATTACTCAAACAGGCAACGGTAAAAAAGGAGCAAACAAAAGCATACAGAAAATCCAGAATCATAGTCAAAAACAGGCGAATGGTCAGGCTGCAAAACAACAAAAAGGATGAACAAAACAATGGTCAAAAACACGGGAAGGCAAGACAAGAATAACGCTTAAGTGATGCATTTTTTTTTCACTTCATCAGTTGGTGGTTTTATTTCCTCCCCACTGGCTTGCTCGGATCGGACTTGTGGAGCTGCTCAGCATGCATTTGCTCTTCAATGTTTGAGCTTTCAGCAGTGAAATGAACCGCAATGAACTAAACTAAACTGAACTGAAACTCTGAATGTTGGACTTTACTAGAACTTCTAGGTTGGGCTGTTTTGTCAATCTACATTGTAAAATGTGCTCTATAAATAAACATGAATTGAATTGAATTAAATTAAATTGAATTGAATGCTCTAAGCAGAAACAAAACTTAGCAAAATTTGTGTGAATATGTGGTGTATATATAGTCCAAGTAACCATCTTCAGCTGTGTGTGTGTGTGTGTGTGTGTGTGTGTGTGTGTGTTTGTGTGTGTGTGTGTGTGTGTGTGTGTGTATTTGGATGACTGTCAGCTGTGGCAGGAGTGTTTGAAGCAATGACTTCTGACAGTTGTAGTTCGATTCAGTTGCAGAATTGTAGTTCTCCAGCAATCTGCAGCTGCTAGATTATGTCTGAAACATGGTTCATTTATTTTACTATGTTTTATTAATAAATAAACATAGATTGCGATCAGTATGATACATGGGATCAGTACAATTTTAAAACAATAAACATGCTCTTTAAGGCTGCATTTATTTGATCAAAACACAGTAGAAACTGTAATAAATGTAAGTATTATTATGCTGTAAACTAACATTTGTATTTTTAAATGTACTTGAAAAAATAATTTATTCTTGTGATTTAATTTAGAAATTTTCACTCCATCACCACTCCAAACTTGTTACATGATGCTTCATACAAAATCATTGTAATGTGATGATCATATACTAATAATTTTAACATTATTATTGGTGGCATGGTGGCTCAGGGGTTAGCGCTGTCACCTTACATCAAGAGGTTGCTGTACAGATGAAGACATGCAGTACATGCGAATTGAAGAAACTAAATTGTCTGTAGTGTATGAGTGTGTCTTGGTGTGTGGGTGTTTTCCAGTACTGGCTTGCAGCTGTAAGGGTATCTGCTGTATAAAACATGTGCTGGATAAGTTGGCAGTTCATTCTGCTGTGGCTACCCCTGACGAATAAAGGGACTAAGCCGAAGAAAAATAATTTTATTTAGTTATTTATTTCGTTTTTTAGTTATTTATTTTAGTGTTGTATATCAGTGTTGAAAGCTGTTGAAATGCTTGATATTTTTGTGGAAATAATTTTTTGTGATATGTTATCATTCAAAAGTATTTAATTTTATGTATTGAGGAAACATTACAGTTCAAGAGTGAAAGTAATGATATTTATAATTTAAAATATATATATATATTTCAAATAAATGCTCTTATCTGATCTTTCTATTAATCAAAAAATCCTTAAAGCAATATGTTTCAGTTTAAAGCACTGATAATAATACGAATATTTATTAATCATTGAGAGAACCAATACAGCAAATCATTATTTTCAATTCTGATGGATCATGTGATGACACAAGAATAAATTTTGAGTGAAGTTTACTTGTTTTGTGAAGGGAAGTACTTATTTTGAGAGGATCACGTGCTTATGATTGATTATGGCTGTCCTGGTTTAACCAACTAAACAACCAGAGTTTCTTTTACTTTAGTTATCTTCGCTTTGAAGAAATTCAAAAAAGAATTTTTGCCCTGCAAACAGGAGGGAGCCCCGGGCTTGACAATCTTATGAGCTCAGGGCTTTCTCCCGGGACAGCGTGCCAAACATGCTTTATAATCAATCATCAGCTAAGCGTGAACTCTTGAAACCACATTTAGTATGAACCTAATTGCAAGTTGTAATTCTATTTTACAGTTTTTACTGTATTATTGATCAAATAAATGCAGCTGATCTGAGTAGGCTTTCGAATATTAAAAAATCTTAGTGACCTCTGGATTCTTTTGTTTTATACATTCGAAACACTGTTTGATCAAACTGCTTATTTAAAATGAGCTGAAACAGCACAATTCTTGAGTTTTTGGGTGGTACAACTCAATTGTTTTATGTTCAATTAACTTAAATGTTGTAAGAACTAAAATTAATAAGTTAATGTAATGTTTTTATGCTGTCTTAACACAAATTGGGTGTGAGGAACCCAGTGTTTTTTACAGTGTATGTTGCTGTCTTATTAATAGTTACAGTGCACTTTTCTTCTGAGTCAGACTGTATAGAGCAATCAGATTTACTGCCGAACTCTTCACTTAAAGTCTTGAGGACTATAATCTGTGATAAAGGAGTTTGCAGGTGAGCCTTATTGATCTATTCTGGTGCAATATTTTACCATCATAATAACTTTAAGTTCATAAGTTCAGCAGTTTTTTGCCTTG